GGTTGCGCCTTCCAAAGGCGGCCGCGGGGAGTCTTGATTTCGGACACCCAGCGGGCCAGGACGCCGCGTCCCCCGCGTCCCGCCCGCCCCAGATCTGCGCCCGGACGCGACCCGCGCGGGCGGCCTCTCCGGGGCCCGTCGGCCAGGAGCCGCGCTGCCTCCGGGCCAGGCCGGGTTCCGCCGAGAGCCCGCGCCTGGGTTTTACTTTTCTGTCAAGGAAGCCTTCAAATCTGGGGCTCTTTTCCCCCATTTTTATTATAATTTGTGGGTGTGCGCGCGCGCGCATGGGTGGAGAAGCCGGACGCATCTAAGTTGATGAATCTCGGATTTTGTTTCGTTCGCGTCCGAGTTTCTAGAGTCCGGGGCTCGCGCGTGGAGCGCTCCGGCGAGCCGCTGCTGCAGAGCCGGCGCCGACCTGCCCCGCGGAGCGGGTCTTGGCGCGACGCGGGCCTGTTTCCCGTGAGTGTACATGAGCAAGTTGACCCTCCGAGAAAGATGCCACCATGACGCCGGAAGTAAGCAGCGAATTTGCCGAGCCAATCACATGCCTCCCTGCCTCGTTTATAACATGAAATTAAACACCCGAAGCAGCGGTGACTTATATTTGAGACCTCCCCAGATCCATCCTCCCGCATACCACCCCGTCACTCCGTCCGCACACAATGTGGTATTTTAACTCCCTACACCCAAAAGCTATTACAAAGAATTATTGTTGATGATAGCAATTCCAAGTAGAAAATCTGGCCTGTGACTTGGAGAAAACCTTCAGTAATGAGTAGTTTTACCAGAAGGGTACAGACATGTTTTCCTTTTCTTAGCCCACACAATTATTTCAAACGAGTATTTTCATATTTGCTAAACTGATAGAAGCAAAGGGGTCCATGCATGTGATACTTCCCTCAAGGGGAGAAACTTGAAGCAACCAAATAATTACGATGGTCCTTGACGGAGGTGCTCCGGAGGCCTGTGTCTATGTAAAATAATACATTTTTCATCAAAATCGAAGGAGGACACCAGGCAGTACTGTTTCGTCTTACTCGGAGTTCTAATGTGATCAGATTCTTCCTGTTTTCCTTCATTGTTTGCTGTATGTGGATTTACGTTTGTAAAATGTTTAGCTTTATGGGATGCATGCAACTGTAATTACACCAAAGTGTGCTTATCAATGTTCTTCAAGAGTGCTTGATCGCAGGAGCGACCTCTTGTGTTCAGAGGGGGGATTAGATACTCTTCTGTGAAAATGGGACTTATTTTGACCTTTGTATATTCTATTAGGTCAAAAATACATCCCTCAAAGCAGCAGTGAGTTCCTGGTTTTAGCTCCTTTACGAACAGGAAGAAAACAAGCCAGAGTCGTGATTCAGTGTAGTATGATCACGTCAGGCCACCCCCAGTGTACATTACAGTGGCTGCATAGAAGACATACTGAGATTTAATAAATTTCTCTATAGTCTGTGACATTTGTCCGGTTGCACATAACTTCCAAAATGCAGCTGTTACACCAGACCTCCCGGTGTGCTCTTCTGCCTAAATTTTCCTGTCTGCTAAATCGCTTTCCTTCTCTGCTTTAATTAACACTGAAACACTCCAAGTAACTTAATGGCAGATGCAAATTCCTGGACAAACATCATGAAATCAAGCTATGTCCCTAAATCTAAATAGGTTTTAATTGTAATTGAAATGTAAATTTACAGTTACAATGGTTACAATGTTCGTATTCCTTAAAACCTCTGGCAGATATAAATACATTTTTAGTTGGTTGTTTGAGGACTTAAATATACAGTGAAAAGCTTTTTCATTCCTATCTAAGCACGATTAGGAGAAGAAGAGGGGCTGTGGTCAGCTTTCTTTAAGATTTGTTTGGGCCACCAAGACTGGGCTTGAGGGTGGAACAATTAGCCTGCCAATTTCAATGACTAAGGTAGTCAAATTGGGGGGAAAATGTGTACCAGAGGACTTAATGCTTTCTTATCTCCACAAACACATAATTTGGGGGTCACTATAAAACAGGAACACATTTATTCAACTCTGAAAATAGGTATCCAGTATATTGTATCTGAGTCCTGCTCCTCGGTTTTGCTTTTTTTGTGTAATCAGTAATCGCAGAGAACAAGGCTGTGTGAGCCATTGGTGTCTTTAATCATGTCCAAGGGTGAGACAAAATTATGTGTGATTAAAGGGAGTCGGGATTAACCATTTGTATTCCACTGGGAATAGGATGTAGTGTTAGCGCTAATTTAGCACCTTCCAGTTGGTTTACTGAAGATGGTTGAAGTGAATTTGTTCTAATTTCAGAAAAGAAGTGTCTAGTCATGTACTGTGCGGTATGAAATGATTACCTCGTTTTCTTTACTCGAAAGAAATGGTGCCAAGCTCTGATAATAAAGGTTGTTGTTAATAACAAACCTTTAGTAGTGCTTCTTATTTTATTGCCTAAGTCTCCTGCTGGGAATGTAGCTTTGTTGAGTGTCAAGTGCTTTATTAAGCAGTTGAAACAATCTGGGTGAATTAGCGAGAATTTTCTTCTACCATCAGAGCTCCGCAGCGCGCCGTTCGGAGTCAGGCAGCCTTCCGCGTCCATCCTCGGCGCTCCCGGTGTCCCTTCCCGGCCGGAAGGCAGCTGTGCCGCTGCTCGCTTCTCAGCCGAGATAGAAATGGGGTGCTCTGGGCGCGGGAAGCCACAAGCCCCGGGCCAGGCTGGAGCCTGCCGGTGCCGGAGGAGTTCGTGCTGGGCCAGCCACGACCGAAATGTGCGTCCTCCCTTTCAAAGGGTGCTTCTCGAAGTGTTTATTAGGAGGATTTCTCAAAATCGGCTGCAACCTTTGTCAGAGGAATCTCCCTTCGCACCCTCTTTGAACTCGTGCAGCCTCAGGATTAGGAGCGGTGGAGGTGAACCGAGTTGTGTGGAGCGCGGGTCGCGCAGCGTGCTGACGAGGAAGTCTGGCCCGGGACTCTCAGAACCCTGCACTTGGCAAAGCCTTCAGCGAATGTACCGGGTTGCACGGTACATTCGAGCCTGCGAGCGGGAGCCTGTGCTCTCCTAGGTCCCTGGTGGCTTGTCTGCAGTGTTTCCATCAGCACTGGCCCTTGGAAAGCACCCACAGGTCCTCCGGAGCTCTAGGGAAACCCGAAGCAAGTCAGCTCAGGGTAGCTGATCAAATTAATCAAATCTAGCTGATCGGTTTTTTCTTTTAGAAAAGACGGGGTGGGGGCGGCTTTCCCACACTGCAGCTTATCCAACAGGCAGCGCTGAATTTACAGCTGAAGGGTTGTTTTCTCTTCGGCTGGAGGTTTGCCGAGGGCGAGGGGGAGGGGAAGCGAAGGTGCCCCGGGAGGTCAGGCGGGAGTAGAGGAGCCGAGCCTCGCCGGCGCAGCCGGGTGGCGGGATCCCGGAAATCCACCGGGATGCCTCCAGTAAC